CTAACTTAGATTCAACTAATAATATTGTGAGCAACTAGGAGGTGACATTTTGTCATGTTAATGCCTTGATTCATAACTATGGTTAAAATATTTAAGTTACTCGATCCATACTTGTAGAGAATACTCATAAAAGAACAGTGAACAGTGGCGAGCGATTGCATTTGAAGAGTTCTGGGGTATTTTAAAATTTGAAATTCCGCTTAATATGGAGTAATAAAATGTAAATTATTGGTCATTTTTATCCATTTTTAATGTGAGGGGCAATTCAATATAAACAATCAACTTTTCTCTTAATTTTGAGAGTATGTCATGTCCTTTTATGCGTATATGACGCTACGCCATTGGTGAACATTCTGAGATCAATTTCAATGGCAAATGAGGCTTGTTTATAAGACTGGTTATAGAACATTCCAATACCAACACTCATCTTTAGGAAATCCCCCCCATGGGGCGCCATATTGAAAATATGTTCAATCCATTACAATTAATACCAAGATACGAGTAGGAAGTAAACCATTTTCACCACCAGGTGGCTAATTTGGGTAACACATGGCAGGGTATTAAATCAGTTTTAGTGGTTTGATTTTCATATTTACCCCTATGTATCTGATAGTTTTAAACAAACTAAAATAGGACCGTAAAAGAAAATATTATCCATCCAATATGATATTTCACCTTTTGTGATTTTATAACATCACAAATCTCCTCGACCTAGAAGTCATATTTTCAAACTAAAATTTTTCAAGTTGAGAAACACACTCACAATATTTTCACTTGGCACCTTTTGAGGTGGATCCCGGCTATGGCATTAATGGTTGAGAAATAGGGATCGAAACCAGCCATAGTTTTCTCCTGATGACCATTGTGAATTATTGTGTTTTATGGATTATGGCGACGGCTTTTGTGAATGGATGTTGACCCTTTGAAACGCCTATGGACTTGGAGACTGGATTTTATCTACCCCACATCATTTGAGACTGAATGCTCTAACTTGTACGAGTACTTGAATCTACAACTATTTTTTGACTGGTATGCACTTAGAGTTTGCTTTTTCTTGCTGAGTTCCATTACAACTTTTGGTCCTTTCCCTTTGGCACTTGTGCTTATATATTTAAAACCAAATTCTTAGATGTAATTTTACCTGTAGATTTCAAATTTGATATATCTTTGACTAATTTTTAATATTTAATGACGTGACCTGTATTGATAATTTGTGAATAGTCTTTTTGATTCATCCCCTACTTGACAGATTTTGCCATGAATTGAACATACGAAAAAAAAGTAAATCTCGTACATGTAGATGACTTCACATGCATATCATCACACCCTGTCTTGTATTACAAGCAATGGATTCATTATTATATTGCGCCTGAAATAGCTGATAAATACTATTGAGAAGGACAAGATAATGACAATACGGGGTGATGAAATTGTCAAGAGATATATAATCAGAGTAATACGATTATTCTACAAGAGTACATGATGACACAATGCTAATGGAAATCCAATACTAATTACAGACTTTTTCACTGCTATTCACTACCAATCAATAACTGGTGTTATAACATGTGTAGTCACGTTCCGGTCAATGCTGTGCTGCTATGTTTATTTTATACCAATAAGGCCATAAGAAGTAGATTCTTCATTTTGCTTTCCCTTGCTTGCACGATTTTGAGTAAATCATAAAAACAGACATATCCAAATAGCAATCACAAGGGTCTGAAAGTACAGGGTGGTCAAAAAATGGCAACCCTGTTTTATCCCCATATCTTTGTCATTTTAAGGATTTTCTCCCTGATATTTGATACACATATATATCATTCAATTTCGTACTAGACTACTCTATTTCATGAACATCGGACTGATAGTCTCAATATTACAGCACTTCAAACAACATGCCCTAAATGGCCAACATCGTGCTGTCGGCAAACCTGCACATATTTTCCGAAGTTGTCAAGGATCTAACTGCATTCCTCATCGAGTATGGCCTGAATGACACGTGTGATCTCACTTTTGAGGTCTTCTTCTGTTATTCTCCTATACTCTATATTTGAGGTATCCCAGGGGGGGTACTCCAATATATTGGCTATATATGGACGTGCCGCTAAAGTGGGTCACTTTTTTGCTGAAAAATCCCAAGATGTGGGTCCCATTTTGAAGAAAAAAATCTAGATATGGGTCCCATTTTGATGAAAAAATCCTTTAGAACTGGGTCTACTTTTTGAAAAATCCTAAAACTGGATACACAGGCAAATTACATCGGACCCGTACACGCCCGTACGGTGGTCTGGCCAAATACGAAATTCGTGCATGTAGCATGACAGCAATTAAATTTATTGTTCGGAGTTCGATAACGGGCCTCGTACGAGCTCGTACGGGCCTCGAAATTGCGAGCCTCGTACATGTTTGTACGGGCCTCGGAAACAACAATAACGAGCATCGTACGAGCTCTCACAGGCCTCGAAAACGAGCTTTGTACGAGCCTGTACGAGGATGGTGCTCCTTTTTGCCCGTAATGACTAGTAATTCTCGAGCCTCGTACGAGCTCGTACGGGGCCCGATGTAATTTGCCTGTGTACTGTTTTTGAAAAAAATTGCAGGAAGTGGGTCTTGTTTTTTAAATATTACCTTGAAGAAAAACCCTAGATATGTGTCCATTTTTAGAGAAAAAAATCTCTAGATGTGGGTAGTAATTTTGAGTCTCAGCGGCACCTCCCTGTACAAAAATTTGGCCAGTACCCCCCGGGGGTATCCCCACTGGTAAAAGTTAAATTGGGCTATATCTGGGCTATGGGGCGCCTATTCATTATCTGTTGTCCTTGCTGATAATGTGGTCATTGAAGTGGTCACAAAGCCATTCTAGTGCATCCTTGGCTGTTAAGGGCATGGCTCTGTTGTGTTAGAAAAACTGTTGCTACTTATCAATTCCCTTGAGTTTACCTAAAGTCCCCCCCCCTCCCAAAATTTCCTGAAAATAACAATAAAGCATTAGATGTTGACAGTTATTGCATTTTTGCTGGTATCTTCAAAGGTAAAGGACACTATCCCTATGTGCCTAGTTTACACTAAACTGTGCATCTGTCTGTGTAAATGTGCCCCTCCACTACTTTATCAAGTACTTGGCTCGCCAAGAAAACATATTTGTTAGAGTTTACCAGATTATCAAGTTGGAAATAGAGTTCATCCTAATACCAGACCAGTTCAGACAGCCCGAAAGTGGCCATCTGGGGTATGTTGTTTAAAATGCTGTGATATTGTGACTATCAGTTCGACTGTCACGAAATATGGAAGGCTGGTAGGAAATTGAATGATGTACGGATGTGCCAAATATCAGGGAGTAAACTCCCCAAACAACAAAGATATGAGGAAAAATTAGGGTTGCCATTTTTTACCACCCTGTACCATCGCATTTTGTTCAATCAGAATCAGAAATAATGGACAATTTGATATGGATCAAAATTGACAGTGTTATTGATTACTTTGGCATACATTGTGTATTTTCTTATTTTGGTTACCTTTTGAATAATAGCTATGTTTAAACATATTGTATATGATGTATAGATATTGTGATATGTAATCACTGCAAATTGGTATGTCATCCCTTTTCATGCCCATAAAATATATACAATTTTTTTTTCTTGAGATTGTGTTTGTTTTCCTTGTACCCTTGCATGATTTGGATTTTGCCAGGACGCAAAACAAAGAATCTACTTCTTATGGCCTAAACCTTTTATGTTCTGGAAGCAATTTGGTATGTTCCCTTCTTCAATATTTTTTGTGGATCCATTATTATTTTACGATTAATTTTCGATTGTGAAAAAAATGTTATAAATATCTCAAAGAAATGATAACTTGGTTTGATTCTCAAAATATGTGAGGAATATCAAAGATGTACTTCAAATACTGAATGATAAGTACTGATAAAAATGTTTTTTTTTATAAATTCATATATCAGACTAATTTTTCTAGTGTGCACCCTTGAGTATAATACTGATGTACTATTTGAATGTGCTCTAACAGGAAGGTGGTGCTGGGTTGAGCCAAAGGTGGTTAGTGGAAAAAAGTCTCAAAATGACCAACTTAAAATGTGAATATTGCTTCTCAGTCAATTGCTTGCCCACCAACATGTCACACATCAATGTCATCTTAAAATCATTATGAGTTATATGGGGTGTGCGACCAACACTTGAATCAGTCATGTCTGCAATTTTTCTGATAGGAATTCATCTAATATTTGTTTTATTGCATCAATCTGACTAGGGGAAGTTAATTTCTTTTGGTGACCCCTGTCTGGGTTCATCTTCAACTGACTTTCTCCCTCTTTGAAATAGCGGTACCTACAATATATGCCAGGGATAGATATAATGTCGCTTCCTTAAACTTCATGAATATCCTTTATTGTATCCTGATTTGATTTACCCTATGAGTATATAGAACTCAATGCTGCTTCTAATTTAATGCTAAATATAATTGACTTTCTGTTCAGCAGCCATGTTGTTGATGACATATTTTCTGCTGAGTATGATGTAATTTCTCCATGAAGTCTGATCTCTGTGATATGTGATTGTATTATTTTGAAATACTCCATGTTCATTTCCACCTTACAATTGCTCTTTGATGTCATCAGTAGGTGTTGCCAAGGTATCTTAGTATCGGTGTTTATTTACCAACTGTAAAAATGGATTCAAAAATAAAATTATATATGAAAAATGTTCACATTTTTAGTGTGTTATTTTGGAAAACATTTGTGCAGACCTGAACCATGACCACCTTTGGTTCAACCAACTGACTGAATATGTACATGTATGATCTCACATGTTTAGATGTATATCATGTTACCATTGTTACTGTGACTCCTTATGGAGGAATTGTACTACATGCATATTGTCATACCAAATTTCGTCTGCATATTGAGATTACATGTTTAAATCATAATCCAGCATAATTGAGTGTTACTGGAGTGATTTGATTTGTCTAAATAAATTGTGTTTTATTATTTGCAGTTAGTTGGAAGTCCAAGGTGTAATCTTAGGAGAGTCAGTGGTATTTGGCACAGGATTAGCATATTGTTAATTAAAATGACGCAGTCAGAGTACCTTGCTTCGAATCAGCGCAAGATTCTTTATAACTCTATGCTATGTTGGGAAAATTAATTGCAGTATACGGCACTGGATAGAATATACAATAGCAGCCAGGCCTTATAAAACAAATGATTAGGCCTAATAGCAGGCAGAACTTCAAGTCATCTGAAATTAGATTTTGCCATGTTTGTGTGCACATTTTATGGAAGCCAATCAAGTGAAACATTGTAAGGAACATTACATTTGAGACAGTATGTTCATACACAAAAGTGACATGTAGAAAATTAGACAGAAACAAAATGCATGTTCACTTTGAGGAAAACCATGTAACACGGTGTGAATGTGTCATCCAATCTTTGTCATGGATGGGAAAAGTTCCTGATAATCCACCAGAAAGTGATGGCTGGAAACTTAATCGGGCCCATTATTATCAGGAAGGCTGGATATCAACTGGGAATATAAAGGGGACAGTAGGAGTCACCTACACATCATGTAAATATCGCCAGCAAAGTGAACTCCCAACAAGAACAAATTTCAACCTAAGAGGACATAGATCTGAGGTAAGGACTCTGGTTGTAATTAAAGGTGGAATGCCGATAACTGGGGGTTGATTCTTTAGAAAAACTCCAAAATAAATTGTTGGTGACTCAAACCTGCACTGAAGAATGGCTATGACCTTAACTTACTTTTATCAAAATACCAGAGCCTGAAAAAAATCACTTACCTTGATATCGATGAAAGAAGCTTCAGTTTTGATCGACTGCGAGAGCAAAATTCAAGCTTAGCTGAACAACTTTCATTCATCGTAAAATTAATTCCGCCATCTGGTGGATAAATCATTGTTTTTGTGTCACGTGAGCTACCTTTAGACACCTGGCCACCTATCATAAGTTTATCGAATTGAAATGACATTTTTCTATCAAAGAAGGAAATTTGCACAAAAATTATGAATTCTGATTGACAGTCACATATTCCTTGTCACTATATCGTCTTCTTGATGAGACGCATTGGAACTTGGGATTCATAGCCATTGAACCAAGCCACAAAAATTAAATTAGTTGTTAGTTTAGACTAATTAGTTGTTCAACATGTTCAATTGTGTTAATATTATCGACATTCAACCTTTAAGTTGTGACATTAATTTATGATTTAAAAATGCAATATTGTCTATAATGAATCTGCATAAAGACTGCATTTGAAATTTTGAACCAAAATCGCAGACTTTTTGGAATACAAACAGTAAATACTTCATTCTATTTACGAATAATGAGGGCAAATTGAATCTATTTTTGAAAGCGACCCATGTATTATACAAAAGAGAGGGGACAGAGAGAGAAGAATTTATTCTTGTCCTGTTATGTATACAGAAAGTGGAAACAATCTCAGGAAATCTTTTCTCTTGTAAAATAGGAGACAATTAACTATATTATTGACCCTCATGAATGCTTTACTGTATTAAATAACTTACTGAGTTAAATGCATTACTGGATTAAATGCATTACTGGATGAAATGCTTTACTGGACTAAATACTTCACCGAGTTGAATGCTTTAGTCTGTGAAATGCTTTACTGGGTTAAATGATTTATTCATATATTTAGAAATCTCTTCATTTTTTAAGAATTGTTTACTTCCGCTATTGTCATAAATGCTATTATGTAAGAAGTGAAATTCGTCTGACAAAGTTTGACCCCTCTCCAAATAAAGACAGAAAAGTAAGTGTATAATGCACATTTTGTTGATATTTTACACTAAAACTGATGGAAAAATGATAATAGCAGATGTATGTATCTGTTATAAACAGAGAAATGTATACATTATCGTGAAATGACATCTGAAACACAACTGTGCGATAATTAGGATGACTGTGCGATAATTAGGACCACCACACATGCGAGTCTAAGGGGTCTTAAAGTGTTAGCATTTGGAGATTGAGAAATGTCAAACACTGCTTAAATTTTAGAAGAAAGGTTGATCTTTCGTCTCATATTTTCAAAGTAAGTTGAAGTTATCGTATTTGAAATCATCAGTAGTTTTCCAGAGTACCAGTGCGGTGATAGGACCATTTCCCCTAAATGCTTCATTGGATTTAATGCTTTACTGAGTTAAAAGCATTACTGGATTAAATGCTTCACCGAGTTAAATGCTTTACTGGGTTAAATGCTTTACTGGGTTAAATGCTTTTCTAAGTTAAATGCTCTTAAACTGAGTTAAATGGTTTACTGGATAAATGTTTTACTGAGTTAAATGCTCTACTGGCTTAACCTGGTTAAATGCTTTAATTGGTTAAATGCTGTACTGGGTGAAATGCTTTACTGGGTTGAATACTTCACTTAGTTAATGCTTTACTGAATTATTTGCTTTACCAGGTTAAATGCTTTACTGAGTTAAATGTTTTTTGGTTCAATGCTTTATTTGGTTAAATGCTTTACTGGGTTAAATGCTTTTACTGGTTGGCTTAAAGGGAATGCGAAGTTTCATGTTCTAGTTTACACGCTGGCTACTTATAACCATCATCTCTCACTTCAGCTCACTCAATGGACATATCGCGTTTGAACTAACATATAATTCAAGTTCAAAGTACCCATATCGGGGTCGCTGCGGATGCCGCCATTGTTATGTATCAATGACGTCATTGATGCCTTAAAATTGATGCCTGGGAAATGTCGCTATCATAATCACGTCATACACGGATCGCAGAAATAGAACACATTTCACTGATATTTTATAACCATTTCTGTCACGGACCTCTGCCAGATAAGGTCCTCTGTGTCTAGGCTAAATAAATATACTCAAGGACAAGACACGAGATCTTCGGAAAATTTATCCTTTGAGCCTACTACCAATAGGGGCTAGATCTGGCTCCGGATCTGTGATTTCTGTCCGCTTAACATTGTTGCCGCATGTTCATGTCCATATCATATCATATATTTGGAAAAGTTTTTTCAATATGTTCTTCATAGAAATTGAATTGTTGCAATGTATTTTTTCAAATGTTTGTATTTATTTTCTCCAATGTGATATAGTATAGGCTAGGTAGAAAAATCACTAAACTTATGAGATATCGGCTGCGCGATTCGGAAGTCATCGCATTATATTCCACTTGAAAAATATCCACTAGAATTATTTTATATTATGATAACACTGGTTCAAAAAAGGATAAATCTGTTCAAATCCTGTAAATGCTTTCTTGTATATTTAACCTATAAATGAGGTAAATGCATTAAAATATACAAAATGGCATTTACACATAAATGCATTACTGTGCATCAATGCATGGGGATTTATTTAACTAAGATTAACGTGGCTAATGTGTTGGCGTATTTGTGGTGAAAATAAGTAAGTTATATCATCGGCTGAACGCATCCAACAAATAGTTGCATTTACCATATTTATGTAAATACACGACATACCATTTAAAATATCAAAATCTATGCTAATGTTCATTAATGCGCTGATGAGCATTTACGGCACATCATTATTAACCTTAAGGTATACGTCGGCAAATAGGCATACTGCCGCAATTGCTTTCTTACCTAATCATAAATGGTAGATTTCTTCAATCTGTAGTATTCTATTCAAATATGTATAGGTGCATGAATAGGTGCATATTGGAGAATGAAAGAAATAAAACAAAAAGTAGTAATCCAATGAAACACTAACTCCCTAAAGTGTTTGGCCATTTAAATTCTGATAAAAAGGCAAACAAAAAAACGAAAAATCGATGTCGTCTAAATGATACGTATGTAAATGTCAATCTCCTAAATATTAAGATTTGCATGCGCAATAGCTTTACAAGGACATGCCACTGTCATATTTTCAAAGAATAATAAGTAATGTTTAATTTTTCTCAGTTGTTAAACGACCAATTTCAATCATCATATCACAGTAGCGACATTCGATATGACAAAAAAGCTTTTCAAAATTCAATGGCATTTCACCTTGGATCATGACAAGAGAAGCCTCATAACATTCAGTGATGCGGGGAGACGATGGGGTCGATTGTAGTATGATATTTCATTTCAACGACGATAAGGCAATTGCCGTATTGATAGTACGCCAATAGTTATGTATTTATTTTTTGTTAAAAACAATTCCTGATTTTTTCGAGCTCGAATTTAATTATATAACATCCGTGGTAAGTACAGTTCTACAGTATTTTCGAAATTACTTTCAATTTAATGGCATACAACCTTTTGTTTTTCTATATCGGAAAATAAGTGGAACTTTAAAAGCTTCAGTCACATTTGTTCAATGCGACCACACGTCGATCGTATTTCCCTGAAATATATCAGTATTTCTGCGGCAAACATAGGAAAACTACAGTCGACTTAAGGTCACCTTGCTGTCTACGTACACGACAAATCCAGTTTTTACAAGGCGTAGAGTCGGAGTTAAAACTTTTTTCTTTCCTGTGGTCACATTAGATATCAACAAGCAGCAGCCAAACCGTAGGTCCCACGACGACCGTACGTCGGGTTCACGGTCGACTTGCGGCTGCGCTTGGATTTCATAGGTTACAATTGACCTTTCCGAACCATAGAAACCCTTGTGGATGCCTTCAAGAAAAACTACGCACGTCGTAGGGCCGCCCTACGCTGATCGTGCGTCATCATTTATCAGCCGTACGGGAATCGTAGTTTTTCCTCATAATCAAGATACGCCGTACGGCTATCTTAGCAAATGTGACTGCTAAATTATCGGACTGCAGAAATACTTAGGCAACCGTAGAAATCCTACTTACCACAGAAATGATAGACCGAAAAGTCCCCGTAAAAATGTGACGCGAGGCTAAGAATACATGATAGTAATTGAATACGGTTTTAAAATTTAAATTTAAAATTTTAATTTCTTTGAATACCTGTGTTAAAGATAAACATAAATGCAATGGATATTAAAGTACGAACACGTATTTTTGTAATGAGACTAGCAAATTAAACCATTGCATTCTTGGAAATTCAAGATTGGTTGGTTGAATTAATTATATTATGTTTTATTCAAATAGTTTGCATTCGCCTGTTCGCATTTAGCGCTAGACCTAATTAAAGTTAAAAAGTCACGAATCCCAGATTGTTTCAAGTGTAAATAAAGAATAAATCTAACCTGTATTCCATGTCTAGATAGGTAAAAAGCAATTCCGAAAATGACGGCGTTAATATTCTATTGAAATCGTTCTTTATTATGGGTGGTAAATACGTATTCTTTTAGTTCCTTTAAAATGATTTATTTGGTTTTGGAATGGCAACAAATCGCATTCATTTTTTGATTCAAATATGGCGCCACAATACTTTTGGAATGCCAAGGCATCAATCTGGCATCAATGACGTCATAACAATGTCGTAAAGAACCACTTTACGGTTGAAATGGCAGCTCCGTGGTCCAGTTCATTTGCAAAACCCGGGGCTCAATAACAATTAAAAGGATAATGATAGAACAATAAAACTAAGTTGGATTGAAAGATATATCTTTATTCTAACTTATTATCAAGTTTAAGGGACAAAACTTCGCATTCCCTTTAAATGCTTTACTGGGTTAAAAAGAGCTCTACTGACAAATATAAGA